CTATATCTGACTCTTTTAGTTTTAGGACTTACAAACAACCGTTATGTGAACAAAACTATAATACTCTCTTTAGCAACTTTGTTGCGAGAGTATAAAAATTGCAAATATAAGCTCTTTCTATCTCACTGCTCACAGCTTTGGACAACGAGCTGTTCTAAAAGAAATAGAAGTAAATCTGCTAAACAGATTTGTAATAGGTTGCTAGTATTATACAGAAGCATCGAATCCAACTAAAGTAGTTATTCGTCCCACAAAAAGACGTAGTAGCGCTTCAAAGAGTTTTTAAGTTTGGGCCTCTTGTAGAAGCGTCTGAATAAGGGCTCAATTTTTACATCTTCCACTATTCCCAATCTACTTTATAATATTTATTACCATGGCAGTGAGTACACTGAAATACCTCATAACCGGATACTCACTGTCCCAGGGTTTTTGTCCGGAGCTGTTCATATATGGGGGCGAGGCACAAATGAGTGTTAAAAATTTATTCTTAGAGTCAGAAGCTGCTACTTCGAACTATATTTCTATTGCAATGTTAAATAATGGCAATTATTTCATTAGTTTCCTTTGAGCCACCCCGAACCAGGCGTCACCACCGCAAGACAATCTATTTACTGTGACCACTTTAAGTATTATTATTAAAAAACTGTCTCAAAACAACAAAAATTAATAAGAATTTAAATTTTAAACAATTTTCTTGACATATTTTATGAAGTCGTGTGCGTTTATCAGAGATAATTTGAACGCAATATTACCAAAATAGTGTCCTTGTCCGGTTATGGAAATTGGTTTTGGCTGAAAATTCTTTGTGTACATAAAATTTGACCAGTTATGTCTGACTCCCAAATTTTTCTTACAACCTTTACTATCTCCAAGTTCGCTGGCACGTTGTCAAGACCAATTGTGCCGGATCTTCAGCCTCTTCAAAAGTTTAAAGATTGTAGAGTAGATATCAGAATCGAACTAGGAACAAATGCTTCCTAACACAAGGCGAGTGGAATATTAAGCTCAGTATAATTAAACAACTAGTGAAAGAGAGAGAGAGWGTGGAAAACCGATGTACAATTCCTCTCGGGTCCAGAGTTCGTAGGTAAGCTCGGAACTCTGCGGTAATTTTTTTTATTAAAAAATTCACTGCAATTGTCTACGATCCCCAGTTATGGCAATACGGTGCTGGAGTTAGGACTTATCCGGTAGAGTGACAAACACGCTTAAGTTTTCAATTTTAAAGTTTGTAGAATTTTAAATTAAATATTATAGTAACGAGTTTTGCAATAAGTATGATATGATTTCTAAATAAATGAAACTCTCGATTCTGGTTAGAGAAAATCCACAAATTATTCGTTAACAACCAACAATCACTTAAATTTACAGGTTTTTGTGGGTTTTATTCTAGTGGAATCATCACTATCCACTTGAAATTCCTAAACTTAACGTCGACACTGCGAGTTTTTGTTATAAGCAATTATTTATGCAAGCGACCCGGTTTTCAACGCCGATAGTGACCTTATCTGAAATGAATTTAATAGAGCACACTTCGGCATATACTAGAATAGAAGAATGTTACAAACCGCAATCCATACTAAAAAGCAATGAAAATAAAATAAAACGAATTGGGCTTCGTATTACTGTCTCACTCAACATTTCATTCCGATCTAACTGGTGATCCAAGTGGAGGTACTTTTTTGACAGATCACGCGTGAGTCGTGTTAAGCTATCATGGCATTTTTGGCTCAGTACTGTTTGGCATTTCATCGTGGAAAGACCTAATTCAGAATTGGATAATATTCGACGAAATTTTCGAATAGACCAAGTAGAAAACGCAATAAGGCAGAGAGTGTACATGAAGACCTTGGAGAGTTCGCAACAACTCGGACTGACGTACATATGGAACGAATTGGCGCATTTTAAAGCCTACAAAATATAGATTGTGCAAGAACTGAAACCGCTTGACCTTCACAAGTGACATGTCTTCGTTCTATGGGCTCTTAAAAAGTTTCAAGAAAATCCAACGTTTTCGAGCGAAATTTTGCGATGAGACTAATTTCTGGCTCAACGGGTATGTAAAGAAGCAAAATTACCACGTTTGGAACTAAGAGCAACTTGAAGAGATTCAAGAGCTGCCATTTCATGCAAGGTTTGTGGGCCGATTAAATCATCGGCGGTGAGAACGTAACCGTCAGTGGCAACAGTTATCGCGCCAAAATAGCCGACTATTTGATCCTTAAATTGAAAATCGTGTTCTCGACGACATTTGGCGACATATGAAGTTTCTGTGTTTTTTCTTTAAAAAAGTAGGGAACCTCAAAATAAATCATACTTTACCATAACAAATGTACCGATTTTTTCGCAAAAGAAACATACTTTTTCCTTAAAAGTGTTCTCAAAAAGTGAAAATTTTTCATTTCGAAAACCTCAACAGCGTTACCGGGGCAAAGCGATTATCATTGTATATAATAAGTAAGGAAGCACAAAGTTCGGGTGTGACCGAACATTTTATACTCTTGCAACTTTATTAGTTACATGGGAGGTAAGTCAAGTTTTTGCAAAATTTTATTTATTTTAGGCACAAAGATGCACTCTTATGGGCTAGCTCATTTTCATTGAGATAACTCACATATTGGGATACATATGCGTTACAATGTCGACCGGAAGTTCGATTATCTTTATATTTGATATATGGAGACTAAGGGAAGCACTGGTCCGATTCACCTTCCTGCTGAGATCTCCTGTGTTAAATATGAGTTTTATGTCTTAATTTAGTGCTTAGTTATGACATATGTATATCATAAATAAATGCAAATGCTGCTTTTTGTTAAATTTCTAAGCTTGGACTGGTAAATTCTAAACTAGTGTTGTACGGAATATAGTAATTATGTTGTCCAATTAATACACATCCATATGCTTGTAAGTTTTCCGATGGATTGGTATTCCGTATGTACTCAAATTAGTTTTATTATTATTATTTACATACATTAACCGAAACAATAGATACTAAATTTGTAAGGGTAGCTGAAAAACACATTCACACCTGCGAATTTACTGCGCAACACTTGAAAGCACAGAACAAAGTACAAAAACGCTAACGCGAACGTGAACGTGAACGCTCCGAAATGCAGACATTACGCTGGGTCATAAAGCAATGTATCACAAAAACACACACACAGTCATAACAACAACAACAACAACAACAACAGTAGAGCGACATGAATTTATGAATACGCAACAACTTTGTTGCCCACCGGCAGCAATTGTATTAAAATGCGAATTGCAAAGACATCAGCACAGCCGAGCCGTCACTCAGCCGCGCACCGCATTGCCAGCAATAAAAACAGCAACAGTTACTGCTAAATCTAGCAGCAAAAACCACAGCTCATAAAGCAATAAAATAGAGGAAAAATAACGAAAATAAAGCGGCAGTCGTTCAGTCAGCGAATTAGCCGCGCTGGCTGGTGGCGCGCGGCGGCGCGCTTTGAAGTCCGCTTTGATTTCCGGCGGGGAGATAAGCCTTTACGCTCAGCTATAAAAACCAGCAACAATTGCATTAACAACAACAACAGTAGCAGATGGTTGTTGTAATACGCTAACGTTGCTATTGCACTGGTGCGCAGAAAAAAATTGCGAATCGAAAATGAGTTGGTGCATTGCTGCGAGCTTAATTTTTTAATTTTTGCGCATTGTTCGCGCCAGGCAAGCGTCAGAGGTTGTGGTGGCGCACGGTTG